AGATAGATAGATAGATAGATAGATAGATAGATAGATAGATAGATAGATAGATAGATAGATAGATAGATAGATAGATAGATAGATAGATAGATAGATAGACATAGATATAGATATAGATATAGATATAGATATATATCGAGCAAAAGCTCCTATTGGCCGATCATTCACCACATCCAGTTGCGCACGACTTGGTGACATCAATAGGGACGAAGGATCCTGAAAAATTACTCCAGTGTTGGTGTGACGACAGTGACCGTTTCGTATAAATGCCGGGACGGAAAGTTATCTGCTCATACCTCTAGACTTGGCCTCTAAGGTCACCAACTGCTGCAAGCGACTGAAAGCAACTATTATCACTGCCGGTAGTGCCAGAAACTGGGGAAAGGACAATATTTTACCAGGTGAGGCTTTTAGACTAGTCTCATTGGAAATGTAAATATGTCTGCTGGTTAAGGGTTGCTCTTTAATTGATCTGGATAGATCTCATGCATCATGTTTTATTTATATTTATTTGGTGAGACTTCAGAGTTCTCTTAGATTTCTTTGTAAAAACCAATCTTCAAAGCTGCTGCGATCTCAAAGCCTCAAAGGCTTGGTTAGCAGCTTTGCTAAAACTGGATTTCTCAAGATAAAAAATAAAAATAGAAATTGTACTTAAAAAATTATATTCAAAAACGAAACGTCTGGTCCCAAAATTGACTTAAATACAGTGGCGCAGAGTAGACTAATATTGTTTCTGTTTAATATTTCCTATCTGCCGTGATCTGTTTCAGACGAAAAACTAAATTACCATGAAGTCGACATGTCTGCTCATCCTTGCATCTCTAACGGTCTGCAACTTGATGGTGTCTGGAGGACAGAGCATGTCTGCTGAGGATGAGACTGACCGAAAGACCATAGACGACATTATTTTAGAGAGAGCAGAGACTCTCCTGTTACGGTCCATTCTCAAAAAGCTGCAGGATGAAGACGGAAGAAATGGTGCGTAAAACATAAGTTATTTTCTGAGTTAAGAAAATGTCATAAAATCTTATTTCATACGATACTGATACTTCGGGTATATCTTATATGTACCTGAAAGTTGCAGCACATTCTCAGTAGTTTACAGTTTCGTGCGCACTTCTCAGGTATCATTTGGAGACATTTTGTTTAAGTAATTGCTAAACAGTTAACATCGGCAATGCAAGAGAATATGTCTCCTTTATAATTAAAAATAAATAAATAAATAATCAAAGAAACAGGTTTTCGACTATCTGCGCACGCGGTAGAGAGAAACCGGGTTTTTATCAGTGACTTCTGAAACATTTAAGAGCCACTTTCCTCTCTTGTTTTCTTCCAGACGGCTATTACTCTCAGCCAGAATGGGTGACAAAACGACAGCACCCTGGTAAGAGATATAGTGATGATTTGGAGAAGCGGCAGCATCCAGGAAGGAGAGAAGAGGACGAGGATGAACAGTACTTTGATGTTCAAAAGAGACAGCACCCGGGCAAGCGCGAAGATGAAACGCACTCTTTCCTAGAGCTGCAGAAAAGGCAGCACCCGGGAAAGCGCTCCACGGCGAGTCACAGTTCTGACAACCCCATCCTCCTGCTCAGTGAACTTTCAAAACGGCAACACCCAGGCAAGCGTTACCTGGTGCTGCACAGCAAACGCCAGCATCCAGGTAAGCGTCTTCTAGAGGATGAGGACGGCGACAGTGACGGGGATGCGGACGCGGATGGAGAAGAAGACCTCGCTGAGATGGAAAAGCGTCAGCACCCTGGGAAACGGTTTTGGGATAACTCTAGTCCGGATTTAGGCACAAACAGTCCGTGTGACGTTTTGGACCCTGCGAGCTGCAGCAAGACCAGCCTGCTGCTCGACTTTTTAGACAACGTTAACAAGGGCCACGGTGAGGAGAAGAGACAACACCCGGGTAAAAGGTTTGCACCGGATGAGGATTTAGTGGATGGAGAGTAGATTAGACAGGAGTGCGTATTTCGCTGTGTTGTAAACAAATAAATGTATAAATTAAATGACCACAATGAATTATAAAAAATGAAAAAAAGATCATTAAACCTTTTGTGCCACCGCTTGTTCTTTTGAAGACATTTGAGACATTACCGCAAGCCATTTGTCTGACATTTTCTTGGAGAGCTCATGCGTAATTGCCATCCAAACTTTGGAATAACTATTTAGCTGTACAGACGTTTTTGTTATGTTTTTTCAGAAGAGTTTGTGCCATATGTTGATCTTTTAATAGCTATCGATATAAATGACATGAGATTATTTATTCTTACATTGAGGCAGATGATTAAAACATTGGTCAGATGGTTTTAGCGATGTTGCCTCTGTGAGGCAACAGGCGCTCGTCAGTTCAGCTTGTGTTAAGATCAAATTAAAGTGTCTATGTTTACACATAAAAGCTCCCTCCACTGTTCGATTAGCGTTTCATTATTTTCTACTCATGTAAAATATAATGAATATCACAGCAAATAAATTGTGTCACTGCTTATTTTTCTACATTACTGCATGGTTTACGTAATTTGAAGCTAATGTTATAAATTAAAAGCTGCCATTGCCTTAAAGTCAACCACCAATGTTTTTGTTGGACAATAAACGCATTGGTAAAAACGTATGGTTTGCTTTAGTTCCAGTAAATGCAATTCTTCATGGTGCACCATTAAACTGTTGATTCAACAGAAGCCTAATTAGTATGTAGTCCAAAGTAGTCACCCTGCCTAAGCCTCTTAGAGAATGATTTATGCAGTTCAGTAACAGACAGAGTGTGTCAGATATCCACTCCCCAGCTTAATTAGGCTCATTCCATCAGAGCCTTGGGAGCAGCTGTCCACCAGCCTGATCAATATGCAAATTATTCATCAAGCATGTGAGTTAACGATGGAGACCTAATATTGGAGATGTTTCGCTGAACATTCACAACTCTAGCAGAATAGCCAAGTGCCAGTGGACTGGCAAAGTGTTTACTATATAATGCTTATTATATAATGAACTACACACACACACACACACACACACACACACACACACACACACACACACAAACAAACACACAAACACACACACACACACACATACACACACACACACACACATACACACAGAGAAGAGAGAGAGAGAAGAGAAGAATATATAGATAGATAGATAGATAGATAGATAGATAGATAGATAGATAGATAGATAGATAGATAGATAGATAGATAGATAGATAGATAGATAGATAGATAGATAGATTCTATTAGTGTTTGCATCACTTTTTGTCTATGAGCCCTTCCAATAAAACTGCTTGTGAGCCACCAGGACAAGCTGTGCTCTTGGTGCCAACAGTGATAATAAGTAATTTAACTAAATAAATTATTATTTCTTTTTTTTTAAAGTTATAAATGCTTAAAAAGAATATTAAAGAATGTTCTCTTAAAAAAGAAAATCGAAAATTAATATTTGCACAATATATCATTTTGTGAAGCCCATGAGACAGGTCGAAACTGAGATGGGAGTCCATACTATTCACCTATTCTCCGTGGATTGCTTCATACCCTCTTGTCAATAAATGCCAGCTAAGTGCACACTCCAAGAATCCTTTAAACTGTGTTTTAACGAGTGAAAAAAGGCTGTAGGATAAAACTAGGGACCTGTAGCTTATACAAACGGAAACTGGATCAAATAAAGGTTCTAGGGTTACACAGTACAGCTGGATTCACCTTAAGGCTCGTAGTTGCAGTTAATGAAGCTGGCCAAGCCCAACCACAAAAAAACACACCCTTAGTTATCCAGCCTTGAATTTTTCCCATCACCCTCCATCGGGAATGACAAACTGTTGTTAGAGTTAAAAAAATGGTTTATTTACGGTAGCAGTGCAGGTTTGCACAAAAGACAGACAACCAAAAGTTGGATATAATAAATATGTACTTACATTGCGGGGAAGTTTCCTGATGGAGCGCCAACCGCAAAATCAAGTTTTGTCCCTCCTCTCCTTCCATACCGACTGGATGTCAGTCACATGACCAGGCAGGGCTGCTGGCGCTGCTGTTGTGCTTCTGTCAGTGAAAACTCGAACTGTCAACAACACAGCTACTGTCGGGCTCATTTGTAGGCTAAGTGCAGATTTTTTTTTATCGCGTCCAATAGTCAGTAGGCATTTGTTTGCTTTTGTGCAGTTGGAAGTTTGTTAATGTCGCGTTTTTGAACAGCGAGAGGGGAGAAACGATTGCAAAAGAAGGCGAGAGCAGCTGCTAGCTTTCTCCTGCTAACGCCACATCCTCTGTGTGGTATAACGGCGCCCAAAGTTAGCCTAAATAATAAACAATAAAGGTAAGTCCTTTCATGGCTCGTATCCAGCTATCACTTAGTAAAACACCTCTGGTATGCAGCTAGGGAACCTAATACTTCCCGTCCAGTTAAGCGTTTTTTCCGCTAAATGCGTGGGTCGACTTAAGCTAAGTTCAGCTATTTTAATGCAGTTGTAATAGTAATTTATCTGAATGTGCATAATAGTATTCTAATCAATATTATTACCTTAAATGTAAGTATTAATTAATGTATTAATGTTTTTTAAGATGTTCAATACTCAGAGGAATGTATTTTTGTTTTTTAAGCAGCTTAAAATTGAGTTAAGTCAACACTTATGGATCATTCAAGCATACAAACATTCTCTCTTCTCAGACCAACAGTTTTGGTTCTGATTCAGATCATTATTTTATATGGAGGAGCCCCACGGAGAGGTATAATAGTGTCTAAAACCATGATTATGGGCTGCATTTCAGCCAGCTGTGTTGGGGATGTTGGCAAAATTGAATGAATCGTGAACTCAAAAAAGCATCACCAGATTCTGAGCCACCATGCAATAGAATCTGGAAAGCGTGTGATTGGCAGTGGGTTCATTTTTCAACCTGACAGTGATCCCAAACACACACCTCTAATGCAGTAAAAGCATACCTGGATAGAAAAACACACACTGTCACACTATCAATCGTGGATTTGCCTCTGAAGAACTTGGACGTTAACAGTGTTGAAGCAGTGTGGGGGTAATTTTGACAGAGAATAGAACAAAAGACAGCCAACATACAAAGAAGAGCCTTGAATTTCTTTTAAGAGGCGTGGAGAAAAATTCCTGAAGATGACCAAAAAAATTAAAAGAGCGTTTGCCTAAGAGAGTTCATCCTGTATTGAAGAATAAATCTGGTCATAACAAATATTGACTTACAAGCTTGTTAGAATTGTACAAACTACGTTTTTGCATTGCAAATATAAAGAAATGATCGGTGACTCAAGTCTTTTGTTCAGTATTGTATGTGGCTTCAGTGTACTTCTCTCATTCCTCAGTATCCTGGGATTTTCTCAGGCATTATGGAGCTACTGTGGGGTAGGTTGCACACCCCATGAGATGTGGACCGAAGTGAGAACGTGCCACTTTGCACCCCCTCTGCAGCAGCACTGACACTTGTTGTCATGGCCTCCAGCTACCCGCCCCCCTTTGAGGGCACAGGTGAAGTAAAGGAGGGTTTTCTTTGCCCACTGTGCCTAAAGGACCTCCAGTCATTCTACCAACTCCAAGACCACTATGAAGAGGAGCACTCTGGAGATGACCGCCATGTTCGGGGACAGCTAAAAAGTTAGTAGCAGATTCTGTGTTTTACTCTTTGGCTACAGGGCTAATTTACTCCTGTTGTGTCCTAAAGACACAAAATCGTACAGTGTACTGTCTAGTCTGGAAAAAAAGGGCATTTGAAAGGAAACCTATTATTATTCATTTTAAGTTTAGTATTATTATTTGTGGACCCTGCTAGTGTGACTAGTCACAAGTTAAACGTATTCTTGTTTATCTTATACTGGGTCTTGGGTCAGCTAGAAGTTTATCCTTTGTTAGAAGTGAAGAATTTAAGCTTAGATTCCTCTAAGAGTGTGGATGAGTCTTATATGGTCACTACAGGAGCTGTGTGCTGCAGATGAACATATTAAGTACATCTCATTTACATCATACAGAGCCAATAGTAGAAAAAAATATCTAGAGTCTGATCATGTGGCTTGTAGGGGATATATATATATATACACACACAATTTACATATAAAAGGAGAAGTATTAGCAGTGCAATTGAATATAAGAATACTGCTGTACTGGATTATAGGAAATTGCTGTCAGGATGAATTTGCAGTCCGTGTTGGCTGCTGCAACTTTCTACATAATAGGAATATGATTGAATTATGAAAAGGCCAGAAGGATGCATGTGCAGGTTGGCTTCATTTGCATATTAATAGTACTGTAATGAACTTGAAAATAGAAAAACATGATAACAACAATCACATGTTGAAAGATGGATGAATAAACTGAAAATGTGGCCATTATAAATATTAACTCTGGATCAGCGTAAGAATCACAGTTTCAGGATACATTTACGCACTGTTTCATTGTACGTATTGTCTCACTGTTTTCAGGTTTGGTTCAGAAAGCAAAGAAAGCCAAAGATAAACTGCTGAAGAGAGATGGGGACGACAGACCGGATACTGGCAGTTATGAGTCCTTCTACTATGGTGGAGTGGACCCATACATGTGGGAGCCTCAGGAATTGGGTGAGACTGCAAAACCTGTCATCTGTAGCACTGCTAACCAACAATATTTGTTAATGCAAGACACTAAAAAAATATTTTTCTTTTGCTTTTTAGGAGTAACCAGAAGTCATCTGGACTTGTTTAAAAAGCACCGGGCAGCCAGGATAGATCATTATGTCATTGAGGTCAACAAGCTCATCATTAGACTGGAAAAGGTTTGCTTATATTACCTCATTCAGACAATTTATTTTCTTCTGTTGCTGGAAATAAATTTGCAGCTCATTTACCATAAACTATGATGTTTTAGCTGACATCATTTGACAGAGCCAACTCAGATGCTGCTAAGATCAGAGGTTAGAGTTTTCATTATAACTCTGAATATTCTTTACATATGTAACTGTGCTTCATAAAATATTTTAAATAATAAAAATCTATCCCTCTTTGTAGCCATTGAGAAGTCTGTAGTGTCATGGGTGAATGATTCAGACGTACCGTTTTGTCCCGACTGCGGAAACAAGTTCAACATACGTAACAGACGCCATCACTGTCGCCTCTGCGGGTCCATCATGTGTAGGAAGTGCATGGAGTTTGTTCCCTTACCCCTGGCCCGTAAGCATGAACAAATACTTGGGAAATACAGAAAACTGTCAGATCTCAAAAGTCTCTCTATAAGTGTCATAATGCTGCATGTCTTTTTTATTTAACCTTCAACAGAGAAGCTTATCGCTGGGACTCGAGAAGCACTGTGTGTACCCGGAAGTCCCAGTCAGTCCCAGTCTCCACCAGCGGGAGGTGGCAGCAGCGGGATGGGCTCTAGGAGAGGCAGCATCAGCAGTTTGAGCAGCGTAACCTCCATGCTGGAGGAAAAGGATGATGAGAAGATTCGCTGCTGTCACCACTGTATGGACACACTTCTGAAGAGACAGCAGAAGTTAGAAGAGAAGGACCATGTGCCAGATATAGTGAAACTTTATGAGGTTAGTTTATCACTTTAATTCCTAATGTGAAGATCAGGTTCTTTATTTGTTCCCATTTGCATTGCGGTCGATTCTAAGAATTGTTTTGCAACCTCTCGAGTTTGCTTTGTTCTATCCTTCCTGTCATTTAATGTGTTTCTTGTGGAGCTTCCTGTTGTTTACTTGCTTTGAATTTGTCTTCCTGACAGAGGCTGAGGATGTGCATGGAGAAGGTGGATGAAAAGGCTCCAGAGTATATCCGAATGGCTGAGTCTCTCAAGTAAGCCACATTTAAAAAGTACTTCTTCATACTTTCTTATAACAGCTGCTTATTTTTCAGTTTGGAGAGATGGTTTTAGTACTTGCTGTCATCTGTACACTTTTATAGTGCTGGAGAAACCACTTACAATCTTGACACTGCTGGTGGGTTAAGACTGGAAGTCCAGAAATACTATGAACTCATCGATGCTCTGAGGTATATGGCAGTCATGACTGGCAGCTTCAAAATGAAACTTTTGTCGTGTTTGCCAACTATGCCATTATTAAAGATTAAATTGGCTTCTTTTCTTTTTAGTAAGAAGATCTTAACACTAGGACTGAAGGATGATCCACAACCACATCCGAAGGTGCTCCAGCTACAGAAAATGATCCGCTATACCGCCACGCTGTTTGTCCAGGTCAGGACAACTTCCACTAATACATAAAAACACAATTTGATTTGATTTGATATACCTTTATTAGTCCCACAAGGGGAAATTTCAAGGATGGATGAAGAAACACAATGTTTCTTCATCCAAACACAACAGGAGATAAGATGTACCACAATGTAAGGAGTGCTCTGACATGTTATGACCATTTATGAGCACAAAAGCTCCGTCTTCAGGCTGCTCTAAACACAGTTCCTCTTGGCTCTATATTATGCTTAGTTTGATTATCTCTCATGTGGTCAAAGTGGGCATAGAAGACCCAACCATCTTCTGCTCAAACCTTCTGTTTGAATGAGTAAACCAATCAGAAGAAAGTTGGCCTGAAGGGGGGTGGAGCTAAAATGGCTTGGCTGCACTGACATGGCCCAACATAAGATAACTAAAAGTTATTTCAAACTTTGAATCATTCAACGCTCCAAGATAGCAGTAGCTGGAAATAAGAGTAACAGGGTTCTCTGTAGTATGACTATCATATACCAGAAATGATTTAACTGTATCAGTGTTTTTACTGTAATCTTAAAGGGATAGTCCATATAAAATCAGTTCATGACCTGTAGCACATTTTGCCTATTGCCATGTTCTTATCAGTATTACTTTACAGGAGTTCACTGATAATGAGCGACCTGCCAAGTCTGTAAAATCTGTTTCTGCTTCAGTCATCATACTGTATGTTGAGCTGATGAAAGTCTGCTGTTGTAAACAAAGCTTTTCATTGAGAGAAAAATGTATAATGTGTATAACCCATAATGTGTTGTACCACAAATATAATATGCTATATGTGCTGTAATGTTGTCTGGGGCTGAAATTTTTAAGAGCAGCATGTTTCCGTTTATCATTGCATTACAGTACATTTACACATTGTTTCTGCAACATATCTTCATCCTGGAATTCTTTATTTGTATGAATCTGCCCATTCTTTGTGTCTTCTGTTTCAGGAGAAGCTGTTAGGTCTGATGTCTTTACCCACTAAGGACAAATATGAAGAGCTGAAAGAAAAGAGGAAACAGGAACAAGAGAAGAGACTGCAACAAGAAAGACTGGTACGATTGTGTTCCTGTATGTTGTTACTATTATTTTTTTCCGCTGGACAGATGTGGCTAAATGTGTTAACCTTCATGTGATTCCTGCTCAACAGGCAGCACAGGAGGCTCTGAAGAGGAGGCAGGAGAGACAGGAAAGAAGCCGTCCACCTGTGAATGCCAATGGAGAGCTGCCACAGGCCCCCAGAGAGCCACGAATTACCAAAGCTGGTGGTTGGCTTCCCTCCGCGGACTCCGTCCACACACGTGGCGAACTGGAAGACCCCCTTCTGCAGCAGATCGAGAACATTCAGTCATTCCTTCGTCAAGCTCGGGAGGCTCAGAGAACAGACGAAGTAGCCATGTTAGAGGAGAACTTGCGCCAGCTTCAGGATGAGTATGACCAGCAGCAGACCAGTATTGCTCTTGCGCTCTCAGAAAAACTTGCTCAAGAGGAGAGTTTGCAGCAGGGAGAGCTGCATCGCTTGAAGACCTGGGAAAGGGAGGAGAAAGAGCAATGGAGCTCCGCTGTAAACTCCTCCGAGCCATCCTATAAATGGGAGCGGTCTCTAGATATCACTCCAACTGGAGGTCACCAGGGAGAGGAGGACACACCAGCAGAGGAGCTGACTCCTAAGGCAGAAAGAAGTCCTCCGTCTTTTAGAGCATTCCCTGCTCTCACAAGCCAGGAGGAGTCTCCCCCAAGGTTGAGAAGCTTAGGAGGCCATGTAACGCCTCCTGGCGGTGAAGGCCAGAATAACACCTCCCTTAACCCCTTTGAAGAGGATGATTCCACACCCACCGAAGATGATCCATCCAATCCATTCTTTGAGGACATCAAGAAGGACCACAAAGAGGTAACCAACGGAAAGAAAGAATACAACCCCTTTGATGAAGATGAAGATGCAGAGGAGGACAAACCGGCTGAGACTGTTTCACGCAACCCCTTTGAGGATGATGACACAGATGAAGGTAACCCATTCCTAGAGGCTTCAGGAAATTCTCCAGAAGTCTCGACTAACCCATTTGACGGGGATGACAAAGATGAGGTCTTGCCGGATGTGGACATGATAGAGGAGGAGCTGCTGCTACAGCAGATAGACAACATTAGGGCCTACATCTTTGATGCAAAGCTCAGCGGGCGTCTCGATGAGGTTGACCTTCTGACACAGAACCTAAAAGAGCTACAGAAAACCCTCCAGGAGCAGAAGAATAAGAATAAGAAGCACTGACACATTTCCCTCAAAATCCTCCTGATCACCTGCTACTTACCAAGTCCCACAAGGTTAGCTCACTTAATGCGACTTCTGAGCCCACAGAATTTAATTTGTGCGAGGTCTGCTGTATCACAAATGAAGTTCATGCCACAACAAAAATACATACAAGACTTCAGTAGTCATTTCCTGAATTTCCAAACATCTTCTTAGGCTTCCTTGCCTGTTTAGGTCAAGGGCTCAAATCTAATGCACATGTACAATTTTAGAGCACTGTGAGTAAAAGTGAATTTGTTTAGGCATGTCTGCAGCTATTTGCCCAGCTGTAAAAATGCAAACATGAACAAATGAAGATAAAACAATGTCACTTTTAACAAATGTTAAATGAGACAGTCAGATGGTTCTTCAGTAGAAGCTCTGAACAAAGTCAAAACGCTGCCATGGCTGCAAAGCTATAAAGATGAGCTCACACATCCTATCATAGCACTGCACTCCTATGGCCCTGGCAGACCTGTGATGACTCCCCCCCCCAATCAAAAAAAGATACTACAGAAACACATAGTGCTTCTTCTACCTTATTAAAACCTGCTGCCTACATGAAGCACAGTTCAACTTGAGATTTGGGTTTGTAGTTGGTAACTGACTACAGTTTTTTCAGAAACTACTCCGCTCTCTCTGGAGAAATGGCTTTAAATGTCTTAAATTCGCAGACTTTAATGTGTAAAATCTGTTTCATTGATGTTTGAAGTCTTGTATTGGTGCTTCATTCTGTAGTAATTGTACTTCCTGCTTTTCATTTATCCCTTAGCAGAGAGCTAAAGCGCACATTATTTTACATCCAACTTTCCCACAAATAACTCAGTCCAAATGACCATGTTATTATCAAACAAGAAGTGGAATTTAACACTTACTACAAAATTTGGGGAGCCCAGTGTTTGAAGGAAAGAGATTATTTGACAAAGTTGTTATTAGTGTTTGAATTATAATTTTAGTCAATATGCCTGGACCAATTAGATTTGTAAGAGTAGTTAAAGATGCATTGCACAGAATTAAACCATGTATGTGGCCTGCCACTAAAAAAAAGTGTAGCTTAATGTTACACTGACTAGCAAACGTTTTAATTACAATTGTTGCAGTCAGCCAGTTAATTAACTCTTAAACTAAATGAAGGTGTCAAACCCGACTTTTTCATTTCCAAAATCTTCAGTTTATTGCACCTGCTATGTCATCCAATAAATATGCTGCATCTTATATAACAGGGAGCCAAAAAAAGGCTTCCTCAACCTGATGTTTTTTTGTTTTTGTTACAGTACAGGAATTTTGGCTGCACGTGTGTGTTGTTCAGCTGGTAGCCCGGCATGTCAGACATCACAGCTAAGATCTGTATGTTCGGCTTGTTATCTGATCACTAGTTTCACCTGAAATGTCCATTCAGAGTTCATCCAACCAGTTCACCCAGCAGGTACTAAACACTATTTGCCAAGGGACACTGTAGGCATAAAACATCTAAAATTCACTGAAGTTCCATTGTGTAAGGAAGTCATTCATATTTGTTAAGTCTAAATAAATTCTTAGGTTAATTTCTTTTTCTTGGTCAAACATATATTAACACTACATGAATGCCAGCAAGTATTATCACCTTGAGTGCTGCTCTGCCGGTCCTAACATGACTCTCTTTTTGTGCTTTCAGTCTCCTCGTAGAGTTTTTTGTGTTTGTAACATCTGCAGAAAATTTTTAGCAAAGCACGTGACCACCCTTAATGTTTTGACAGCGTGAATAACACAAGGAGATTCATTAAAATTAATTGCTGATCTTTATCTTTGAAAGTAATTTAACATCTCTGCATTTAAATGAAAATATTTGAAATGGACACAGCGATTTAGAAATGTTAGGAAATTCCATCTCAGCACTAATAAAACTGTCTGCAGTAAAATGTGATTTCATTTTGGTTTTGTTTTTCCACTTCTCATATGAGCATTGATGGTGAATACTTACATAGTGTGAACAAAATAGGCTGGTTAGTAAAGCTACATGAGAAAAATGGGTTTTATTTAAATGCTCACATCAGTCAGCCCATATACATCCATGCGAAGTCTTCAACAGGTCTCACTGTGACAGATGATTGGTTCCTCCTGCTTCACAGTTGAGTGCCAGTCCTTTCATATAGTTATATAAACACCCAATGAAGCCACATAATCCCGTAATATTGTTCTGTAAATCTACAAAAGTCCACTGTCCTTCTCAGACTCTACTCCTGTGACGCTGCCATCTGGGCCTTGTATTTGCCCGTCATCTCTTTAGGCAGCGGAGTGGTGCCAGGACATGGCACCTGGCCCTCCACTTCACAGATGCACTCCCTCAGACAGTACTTCTTTGGCCCAAAGTTGGCGGGGTTGGAGGCTTGCATCTTAGCCAGAGCTTCAGCTTGTAGCACCTCTCTGTGGAGAGAGTTGAGTAAAATAAATATATGAACAGATCGCCTGGTCTTCGCTGGAGAAGAGTTTTTACACAGAGGACATTTGACACTGCACAGTAGTAAATGGTAAAACTAAAAATTGAGGAGTCCATCTTGCTGAAATCTCATTTCTACTCTTTAGAAGTTCCTTTGGCAGCAGTGACAGCTTTGGGGTTTCTTATGCACACCTGGATTTGGGCAGTTTACTTGATTTTTCTTGTTAAATCCTTTCAATCTTTGTCAGATTAGATGGGAAGCATCTGAACTGCCACCATCAGGACTCCGCAGATGGTCTGTGGGCTCTCTGTGGACAACTCTTTGACTCACCAGTTTTATCACAGATTTCTGCAGAATTCAGATCTCATTTTCACTCTTTTTTTAATCCTAACATGCAGTGTGAACTGTGGGACCCTAAATATGCAGGTATGTGCCTTTATGAACAATGTCTAATCCATTCAAAGAAATCTACACACACCAAGGATAATTACAGACCACAAGATGTGCCTGATTCATTTTGGAGGTACAAACATAGATCCCTCGCAGTCAGAGAGGTTGTCCTCTTATAGACATTAGGAAGGAAAAATAAATACATTTTTCTTTACAGAGTATTGATTTGTTGTAAGCCTACAGGGAAAAATATCAATTGTATATAATTAAAGTTAATTCTGAAACACTATAAAATAGCTCAAAAGTAAGCAAACCTAAATATATTCTGATGTGAGCGTATGCAGACATCCAGAGGTGTGCTCGAATAGCCTATTTATCTTAAAAAGGTTACTAACTGAGGCAAATAACCTGGAATTATCTGCATGGCAGCCATAATAAGATCTGGTTGACTTTTTTAAATACAAAGGAAAAGTGCTTAAGTGCTTCCTTTATTACCTCCTTTAGGAGAGGATACACTGGATCGGAAGGAAGTGGCAGGTCACCATTAAATGCTAATGAACAGTGATTCTATTTCATGTTGTAACCTGATGATATGTTTTGAACCTTTAATGAAAGGTAATGTTAAACCCACAGGTGAATTATGAACATTATGCTGCTGTAATAAGATCTGCTTCTGATCGAGGTAAAAAGAATTTACATATAAAAGAAAGTCTACATGATCAAAGTGCATTTATGGTGCACCACAGTTCTATTAGCGTCACATCCATCATTCATTATGAATTCATGTTTATATCCAGGTGTATGTTTTTCTTTGAAATTCCAACTTTAGTATGTAATCATATTTTTTTACTGTTGGTTCTTGTATTAGCTGTATGAAACAACACGATAGGAACACAGGATGAAGTAAGATGCTCATTTTGTAGTCCGTCTTCTGGACTTTAGTTTTAATAGGCAGACATCACAGTGTTAATTCAGACAGATCATCTAAGCAACGTGGTTCATAACTTCTTAGAAATCCTCCTCAGTGGTTTGCCACTGAGTTAAGAAAAGTTATGGAAGGTATTTTTTCAAACTATTTGTTTCTGTTTCATAAAAGACGATTCACACTTTTAAAAAAATCCTTGTATATCTTACTCTGATTTGCCCAAAATCTTCTTAACATGTTGAGCAATCTGTTTGTGGTCCTTCCCCTCCACATCCACCATTACTTGTTCCCCGTCGTCTGGACAAAAACACAAAAGAAGATCAATCTAAGCCCAGTTTAATTTCTCCAGTATTTCGTATCAACACTACACAACAACACGTAAAGCTACACACCCAGGTAGAACTTCAGGAAGGATGACGGCGTCATGTTTTTGAACATCATAATTTGGACCCACGGGTTTTTGTACTGAATCTGAGGAATATTGAAGAACACAAACTTTCTGCAAAACACAGAGAGAAGACAATTTAGCTTCATTTAGATCATTACAGTTGTTATAGCTTTCTGCATTAAAAAAAAAAAAAGGCAATCATGCTGTTTTTTTGTTTTTTTAAGTGTTTCTGGAAAACCTTCTGTATATAGTAAACTTCTGAGAAGTAAACTTAAACACAAAGTTGAATTAATGCAAAATCAACTGAAAACTATTGTGATAAAAGATTAAAGTAAAATTATCCAAAACTTGTGTTTTCTTTTAGGAAACTTTGAAGAATCTTGGATTTATTCTGCAACCTGGATATTTCCTTCAGTGCACATATTAAACAAATATGTAAGACTGCTGTCTTGCATTTAAACAATATCTCTAAAGTTAAAAACGTCCTCTCTCAAAGTAATGCTGAAAAAGTAGTTCATGCATTCTAAGCTCAACTATCGTAATTCGTTATTATGGAGTTGTCCTAAAGCAGGGGTGTCTAACTCCAGGCCTCAAGAGCCAGTGTACTGCGGGTTTTAGATGTGTCCTTGATCCAACACAGCTGATTTAAGTGACTTAATTACCTCCTCAACATGTCTTGAAGTTCTCCAGAGGCCTGGTAATGAACAAATCATTTGATTCAGGTGTGCTGACCCAGGGTGATATCTGAAACCTGCATGACACCAGCCCTTGAGGCAACTGTTGTTTTGACTGAATTGAATTTTAAAACCTTAATGTAAAAAAGGATTTGTATCTTTCACCATTTTTCTGACATTCACAACAATTCAAAGGGATAAACATGGCTTGGAAAAACACGGTACTTTTCACAGTGATGTATATGAGCATACTGTCAGAGTAGTTATAAAGGATGACCAGGTAATCCACACAGCATTTTACCCCCTCTCCCCTGATCCACGTGTTTATGGGCTCAGGTTAATAAAACATGAGACACGTGAGATCTCAACAACAGCGTGGCTAAGTGTATAAAATAAGCTGCTTTTCTGCTCGTCTATTTCCTCGTCGATGCTCTGACCTTGCTCCGTCGCTGAGCTCGCCGTGTGTGTTATAATTCACTGTCATAATCTTCACTCTGTTTTTAAAGATGATGTCGCCCTTCTGGAGATATTCCAGGGTCCTCCTAATCGGAAACCTTCCTTTCATAGGCATCTTAACCTTTTTTATATTTACAAATTACCATTTAAAAGCAAACTGCGCGTGCCTGTAGCCAAAAACGCACACTAACAGAGACGCGTTTTGATGACGTAGGAAGGTCGCTAGCCAAGCGACCAAAGAGTGA